GGGGGCTAATTTTGAAGGGCCCATGCACAGGATCCATTCACGATTGCGCAGGGTAAGCCAGAACCTGCCAGCGTGAACTTTGCCAAAATTTAGCTCAAGACGTGTTCTGTAGCTCGTTCTACGACTTTCATGACAGACAGACATACACACGCACAAAACGACAGACGCTTACCGCTTTATTATAAGTATAATGATTCAGAAGTAATTTCAAGAGAAAAGTGATGCACGACTACAAGGGCATATGTTTGTGTTATAAGCATTGTTTTAGGCTACTATACCTATCCAACCAGTAGCTTTGCCTCAAAAGAAATCGGATATTCAAGCAACGGGGAAAGTAAAACAGGCTCAAAAAGGATCAAAAGTAAAAAACACTCTGATTATCTTTAATCATGATTTTTGGTTGAAATTTGTAGAAATGTCTATCCAATCCAATTCTCACTCCTGCTAGTGATGAATTCCCAACTGAGAACTGGGATGGTGAATGGATAGCACCAAAGGAAATTATAGCGGGAAAGTCGTTACCCGTGAAAGTGAAGAGGGACGCAAAGCCGGAAGAAGTGGATCGTGCTTCAGCTTTGAGCAAAACTGCACAGGTCATCAAGACCCCGGAAGTTACACATGGATTGGTCTGTTTCAACAATGAGATCAAAACAAATTTGAAATCTTTCACTTTGTAGGAACTTACCGAGAAGGCGCTGACTCCTCCTGCAGAGACGACTCCAAAGAAAGAAAAACCGAGCCAAATTTGGCGTGGCGAAAGAACAATTGGGCCTCCAGAAAATATAGGGAATATTGCAGCGGTAAGTAGTTAGTAGCTAGTAGTGGTCAGTTAGTCATTGTTTGATGATTTATTTTGAACTGGCGAATACATTATTAATAGACCATTCACTTTTTCAACTCTTCATACCGTATCCAGCCAATAGCTCTCCTGTCTATGGCACGCGCCATCCTTGATATTCTTGGTCGACTTGATCAGTGGCGTAGCCAGAACGACAACCACGCCCCTTTTTTTTATATGCTCAGTTAGAGAATCGGACAGTTTTTGCATTCTATACATTGTAATTTGATCCTGAACAAAATCTTGCACTCTAATTCAAGCATACTCATGATTATGCATATTTATCTAAAACAATATTTCTTAAATAAAAGTGTATTTTGCAGAAATGCTTATCTGACCCGATTGTTACTCCTGTC